GAAGATTAACAGTGGCAGGCACAGTGCAAGCATTCAGCAGGCTCAATAGATGTGAATTCCCTCCCTCACTTCCCTCCCTTGCATTCTCTGATTTTTCCTTCCCTGACACCTGCTTATTCTAAAACCACAGAGGTGGGTGAGATCATGTCATGGTTTTATACATGATCTTATTCCTTCTTTTCAAAGACTTTTAAAAAATGCATGAGTTGGAGGAGCTCTAAGTTTTCTACTAATTTTTTTGAAGTTTCAGGTCTAAAGTATTAAATCCTATTATGTAACAGCAAAACAGGGGAGCTGGGGGCTAGAACATAAAAATTATTGTAATTAGACAGGGAATAGGTTATTTTTTTTTAAGTTGTGGCTTTCTAGTTTTCTGTCTTGGTTGCTATCTCTAGAAATGGTAAAAGGGATACAGTAAAGAAGAGGTGACCCTTGCTTCTGAAGTTACTGCTGTTTTAAGGGTTTTAACAGGGACTTCTGTTGGGTTTCTAACAAAGGGAGCCAGAGGGGTTCAAGGGAGAGTGAGGAAGATTACAGTTTACAGGAGATCCACATCTGTTTGGTATTCTCCCATCTGAGAAAGTTCTACTTCTGAAACAACACGGGTCGCCTAGTTAAACTTGAATCTAAGAAGAGATGAAAGCTTTTCTTTCCACAGTGTTTCAGTGCTAGAGATCAACAGCTGTTTATATCCTTTAATACCTAACTAAGGATGAAGCTGTCACATCTGTCAGTATTTTCCGGTTCTATTTCCTTGGATCACTGTGGGGAGGGGGTGAAGTTTGAGCCCCTCCCAATTCCCAGGTAGGAACACAGAAACATGCCCGGGATTCAAAGCTGTAATTCTAAGCAGAATTCCTCATTTCTCATCCACGCAGGGTCTGCTCTCTGCTTAGAATTCTTCTTTTGTTTTACCCTGACAGACATCTTGATCATTTCTGTGATAATGACTCATGACAGAACAAAGATCAAAAAGAATAAAAGTAGGCTGGAATCAGGGGGTGAAAGAAGAGGAAGAAATGGAATGTAGTGGAGAAAGTGGCTCCTAAAAATAGGTTTTCCCAAAACACTGAAACAATAACATCTGAGGGCAAATCACAGAGGCGAGCAGGAGGCTGATAAAGACCCAATCATTAGTGAGAGTGGTTTTCACTGAACCCTACCATTTCACCTTGGAAAAGTTACACAGAGAAAATAAAACCCTGTGGAAGCAAGGTAAATATCCAGGAAGACAAAAAGATTCAGAGACATTTGTTTAATTTCATTTTGATCACCAGTGCCATGCACACGTTGAGACTTTATAAAGACAATTTTTCCACTTATCCATCCATCCACTCATCCATCCAACAACTTATAAGGCACCAGGACTAGATTTAGTGCTGGAGTGTAACATAGTAACCACAAATCTGAGAGGGCTTGTGTATACTATTTACCTATTCCAAAGAAGTCACCCAAGGTCCAGCAGGGAAAGACATTTGTTTATTCAGATTTACAAGGGGAAGCACTGATGGCGGCAGGTTGGTGAAGAATCTGCACCTCAGGGCAGTATAGCAAGCAGTTTTATGGGCAAGCAAACTAATGAATAAAATTCCTATACGGTGTTTACAGTTACATTGATTAAGAGTGATGACTACATTTTTTACAGTTTTGCTTGTTCATCTGTATCCCATAATTCATTACTGGGAATATGCATACTCTTCAGATACCAGTTTTGGCCAGAGAACACTCCCTGAGGGAGGGGGCAGAAAGAAAGCAAGTATAGAGGGAAACAGTCTATGTCCAGACAATTCCTCACATGGGAGAGGTTCAAGTAAATTAGACATATTTTGTAACTTAAGGAGCTTACGTTCTAGTGGGTGAAAGCCTTCACCAGAAGACATAGTAGCTGAGCTGGACCTTAAAGGATATGAGAATTCACCAGATAGAAAAGTGAGTGATTACAGAAGGAGAGAACAATATGGATAAAACCAGAGAGGTACAAACAGACCATTTCTGGAGGGAATGAAAAGCATTCTGGGTGGTTACAGTAAAAAAAGGAGTGGTGAGTGCTTATTCAAATGCCGTAAGGTTCATAAGGAACTCAAACAACTTAATAGTAAGAAAAAAAAACCTGATTTTTAAAATGGGCAAAGGATCTGAATAGCTATTTCTCAAAGAAGATATATAAGTGGCCAACACATATACGAATGGATAAAGGAAATGTGGTGTATATATGCTATGGAATACTATTCAGCCCCCAAACAAAAGGAAATCCTTTAATTTGTGACAACATGAATAAATCTGAAGGGCATTATGTTAAGTGATATAAGCCCAGATCAGAAAGACAAATACTGCGTGATCTCACTTACATGTGGAATCTAAAAAAGTTGATCTCATAGAAGTAGAGAGTAGAATGGTGGTTATCAGGGGCTGAGGTGTGGGGAGGGGTCGGTTAGATGTTGGTCAAAGGATACAAAAATTTCAGTTAGATAGGATAAATAAGTTCAAGAGATCAAGTGTACAACATGATGAATATAGTTTTTTTTTTTTCTAAGTGCAGGTTTTTAGGTCTCATTAAGAGATTCTAATTTGATTGTTAAGGGGAAAGGGGGATGATCAGAGAACTTGCATTTGGAACAGAAGACCCAAGTAATTCTGATACAAATAAAAGTTTGACTATATATGTATGTGTATATATACACACCCACCCACACACACATACGTATCTCCCAAATTATGCTAGTAGTGTTATTATTATTATTATTATTATTTAGAAAAAGGCACTGGAGTCAAATTAGGAAATATAACATACTTAAGTATTCTTTTCTTTAAAAATTATTAATGCATGTTGGCATGTTAAAAGTCATACAGTAAATACATCCATTTCACTCATCATGTCCAAAACTTATTTTTCCATGGAGAAAAAAATCAAGGTTCACTCTTTAAGACCTCTCAGAATGCAAGTATCCTCTGAAGCATAGATTGGGTAGAGTTGAAACAGACTATTCTGATCAGGTGAGCTTGCTCCCCAAGTGTGTTGAGTGACTAAGAAAATGTCTAGAAAAATAAGCAAAGTCTATTACTCTGGGGGATATGGAGGCATCCTCCAAGCAAAATCTGAAACCATCTATGATGTCCTGTTTTCCAATTAGATGCCGAGAAACTTCCTCACTCTCAAGTAACACACCGTAGCTCTGTGCTGTGATTTCTGGTAAGCAACTCTCTGTGGTAACAGAGAAGGCGTGTCCAGAGTTCAAAGCATCTAGGAGCCAATACAAGAGGAAGGACAAAGAGGAGGTATCCTTGCCCACACTTATTTATCTTTATTGCTATCACATGTTCAGCGCAGAGCATTGGCAGTTGCTTGTATAGTTTCCGGAAAAGAAAAATTTCCCCCAGCTCCAAAAGTTGCCTCTGACAGTCAATGAAAGTGCAAAAGACATGAACCTAAGAAATTCCCACCCCTCTGAAGTGTTTAATATATGTCCAAGGGAGTTTTGAAACCCTCCTTCTTCCTCTGCTGTGAACTGAGGAGATCCGCACTACCACACACCCTACCTTCTTCCTGTTAACAAGGGGCAGGAGAAAGAGAGAAACCAAGAGAGAACTGGGCAAACCAAGGCAACACCAGGATCCTAACAAATTGATTTGTGTGCTGAATATTTCAAGATGTACATGCCACACCAATCAATGTATACACTTTTTTTCTGGTATAAACTTAATTACTTCCATATGTTCTTTCTCAACTTTCCATATGCCACATGGGGACACAACCCCGCCCCCACCAACCTAGAGGTGATTTCAACAGTATGTTTCAAATACATTTTTGTATTCCAACCATCTCAGAGCTTTTTAATAGTACTTTCCAATAGCACAAGTATTTATTCAAGTACTTCACAAACATTTCCTGCATGTCTACAAGGTTCCAGGCATTATGCTAGGCACTGGAGATACACAACAGAAGTATGAGTTTGCTCATTCCTATTGAGCCTGAGGCATAAAACACTGAATTCTAAATTCAGTCCAGGAGTGCATGGGAGATCCAATGACCAGCAGCATACAGAAATTTAAGAAGGAAGACAGGCGTGGTGGCTCATGCCTGTAATTCCAGCACTTTGGGAGGCCGAGGCAAGAGGATTGCCTGAGCTCACAGGTTCAAGACCAGCCTGGGCAACTTGGCAAGACCTCATTTCTATAATGAATCAAGAAAAATTAGCTGGGCATGGTGGCATGCGCCTATAGTTCCAGCTACCTGAAAGGATGAGGTGGAAGGATTGCCTGTGCCCAGCAGGTCAAGGCTGTGGTGGTTGTGAGCATGCCCTTGCACTCCAGCCTTAGCAACAAAGTAAAACTGACTCAAAAAAAAAAATAAAGTAGAAAAGATACAGTTCTTCCTCTTTAAGAGTTTTATGGCTGACAGCACCAAAAAAAAAAATCCAAATTGATTTGCATTTCAAGTGTCTGGTGGGTACAGCAGCTATGCAGGGGTCAGAGTTAATAGCACAGTCTAGAACTAATAACTTATGATTAGAAAAGGGAAGAGAATACCAGCATCTTTTTCCCCCAGATTTTGAATCCCCAGTTTGTTTGATCTCTAAATAAATCCATGGATTTTCACACTGGGATTTCTTAATCCTGAGTGATAAACACCAGTAGTTACATTTAAGTCAATGTAACTAATCAATTGCCAAAAAGAAAACATCTTACCAGGATAACTGAGTGGGTTTGTAGTCTAGTCCTGAGAAAGCCAACAAGGTCAAATGTAACATTTCACCAAATTAGTGTTTCCCAACTTATGGTATGTGTTCCATTAGGGTCCACAAAATAAATGTAAGTGATCCATAATTTTTTCCTTACTTCAATGAAGTTCTTAGATATGGAGAAAAAAAACTACAGGTATATGAGTGATGAGATTTAGGGAAACCATGACATGGGTGCCATCCAGCATTCAAGGCAGTCTGTAAATTTCCCAAGCTTGGGGAGGGTGGTAAAATAAAACTAAGAGCTAGTCATGGACTTACCCACACATGTTGGAAATATGTCCTCGTTGTTGATCTGAACCTCAATCCAATCCATAAGAAGGTTCATGTACTGGGGAGCTGGCAGTGCTGTTGGCTTCTTATATTTGAGGTCATCCTGCCACCGATACTCATATTTGGGGCCCCCTGACATCACAGGGCAAGTCCGCTCTGTGCAGAACTCACAGATGGTGCCATAAATGAGGTTGATCCGATTGAAGAAGTCCACCACATGTACTGCCACCCAGTCATTCTGGTCCTCCCCGCTGGGCAGCTGCACAGCTGCCTTCAGGTCCACACCTGAGTTGAGGGATGCCTGAGCCCGTTTGTGCAGCTCAAACCTCTGTGTACCAGGTTCGAATTTCCTCTTGGGCCGGAAGGTCTTGTCCTTGTTGAAAACCTGCTTCAGTGCTATGGACATGGTCTTTTCCTTCGCTTCTTTTCTTTTGCAGGAAGCAAAAAGGCACCTGGAACTTTTCAGTGAGAGATCACAGCCCAACAGCGTTTTCCACTGCCAGCCCTCAGGCCCCAGTTTTGAAGCCTGTAGCTTTTAATCTTTTTTAAATGGCCCCTTCCATCTTCCTCTTGAATAATTTCCAAGGGAACCTCATGTTCCTTCCTAAAGGCAGAAGAGAGAAAGGAACTCATGAGTGCTGTTTGCATTTAAGAAACGACAAAGGCTTTGACCTGATTTCCAGCTTGTGTTCCTGGCTGTGCCCACTTCCATCTAGGTGTATGAACACAGAAATTAAGACACCACTCCTCTTGAAGCTGGAAAAGATGGCGGTGTAGCCAGTCAAACCGAGTGAGTGCCTGTATGTGTGAGTGAATGTATGGATGAATTTGCACACGTGTCTGTATGAAAGGGGTATGTGAGAGGGTGACTGAGTGGGGACTCAGGAGCAAGTAGCCAGGACTCTCCCAGTGAAGCTGCTGGCACTGCAGCCACTAGGCATGGATCCTAGTGCTTCCCAGAGCATAGAAGCTGTGTGCCATTTTCTAAAATCAGCAAAGTTTTTCCCAGGAAGAAGATGCCAAAGTGACTGTCTTTCTGACCACTGCAGCGCCAGGCTGGACACTGGCAGTGAGGGCTGTGGAGGGAGTGCAGTGAGGAAGCCAAAGGCAGAGTCCCAAAGAAGCAGTAGTGAGAGGCTATCCCGAACCTGGACTCACTGCCACTGCCAGTACACCATGTTAGGTTGTAAGGACCTGCCACTGGAACCTGAGATCCGGAGACTGGTACTTTCTGGGGAGGGAGCTATCTCTCCCAACCCCATTAGCAACAGGAACAGCAGCCTGTAGAGAAACTGAGTAGTCACTCTAATGCCTGAGCAGAGGAGTGATCCAGGGAGGCCTCTGTGGAACAGCAGACCTGCATCTTTTGTTTTCTTTTATCAGTTAAATCCATTTGGTCAAGCATCACATTGAGGTTCTGAGACCTGCATCTTAAGACCAGGGGATGATCTCTGCATTGCTCTGAGGTTGCTCTTTATGAACTCAGAGAGCATTGCCCCCAGTGCACAAGCCCTGGTGGGTAATGGCAGATGCGGAGCTTCAGATGATTCAGCCTCCTACCCTGAGCCAGCTGCTGGGCAATAGATGTATACAGCAGATCTGACCAAGAGGAGGCTGGTGAGTGCCTAGCCAACTCCTCCCATCCCTAGCAACAAGCAAAAGAGATCAGGAGGGTAGGGCAGAAGCTGGAGACCCATTCCCCTGCTGTGAACTGGATACCCTGGGAGATGTGACCATGCTGGGAGAGGAAGGAAGGGGGAAAGAGCCTCTGACATGCTGAGTCAAGTTATCCCACCCCCCCATCCCTCCTGCTTGTCAATTGCCAGCAGCAGGGGGTGAAGATTCCAGCATTGTAAGTTTCAACAGCAAAGAGGGAACCTGTAGCAACAGACCTGCAGTCACAGAACCCACCACCAGAGAGAGAGCTTCCCTCCCCCCACCCCCACTCCCGAGATATATTAAAGTTGAGAACTCTCTATTCATGGGCTTTCTGAGTTTGGGTTTGCTTGTTTGCTCTTTTGTTTGTTTTGTTTGGTTGTTTGTTGGTTGTTTTTGTTTTCTGTCCTTGTATTTTTCCCTCTTTGTTCTTTCTCTGTGTTTTTTAAAAATCTCTTTCTTCTTCTTCCCCTTTTCTCTCTCCTTCTTCCCTCTCTTTTCTCTCATATACTCTGTCTTGGACTCAAGGACTATACAAACATACCCATTGTAAGGTCATATTGTGAGGATATGGAGAGCAAGTCCCAGCTGGCCCATTCACCAGATAGCAATCATTGTGACCCATCAGTAGGTTCTGAATACTTGTGGTCTCTCCTCAACCTCTTAGTAAGTGCTCAAAGTTGTAAAGAGATAGCACAATGCCCCACCTCCAACCCTATTTCATAATTGAATAAACCCAGAGACCTGGCTCAGGGAAGGACAGAAGGTAGAGCAAAAATCAGAAGTGGTTGCTTTCCCCATATCCCACTGGGCAACAAAATTAAAGAGAAAGAAAAGGGAACTGCTACAAATGAAGAACAATAAAAGTCGCTGCTAACTTTCAGAGCCCCAACAAAGAGTACCAAAAAGAACAGCTACTGGAGCACAAACAATGGCTAGCTCTCAGAACGAGGGTACCCAGAAGTGACTTACAGAGATAAGAGAATCACTGGATAGGATGAATAAAAATCAAGAAATGCAAGGGTTAAAACTAAATGAAATTGCAGTGGAGTTGGTCAGACTCAAGAAAGCATATTTAGTGATAACAGAAATAAAGGACTCCATCCAAGAAATAAATAACAAACTGACAAGCATGAGAAGCAGAATTGACCAAACAGAAGAAAGAATCTCAGAGTTGGAAGACTAAAATATGGAATTAATCCAATCTATTAAAAATATAGAAAAAAAAAAACAAGAAGAAAGAAGAAACTCTCTAAGAGATGTGTAATTTTATCAAGAAGCCAAACCTACATATGATTGGAATATCTGAAGTAGAAAAAGAAATGGAAAACAACCTGAAACAAACATTCCAAGAGGTCATTCAAAAAAACTTTTCTCATCTGGCCAGAGAGATGGCTATACAAGCACAAAAGATTCAGAGAACCCCTATAAGACATCTTATGAGAAGACCAACCCCTAGACACATAGTAATCTGCCCACACAAAGTAGGTATAAAAGAAAAAAATCCTAAAGACAGCAAGGGAAAAAGGTGAGACAACCTACCAGGGAAAAGCAATCAGAATTTCTCCAGACTTATTTGCAGAAACACTATAAGCCAGAAGGGATTGGACTCCAATCTTTAATGTTCTCAAAGATAAGCAATTTCAACCAAGAATTTCCTGCCCAGTCAAGCTAAGTTTCGTCAGTGATGGAAAATTAAAATCCTTCCCAGGTATCCAATCCATAAGAGTATATGCTGCTTATAGGCAGGCTCTATAGGAGATGCTGTAAAAGGTTATGTGCACAGATGAAAAAAGAAACAAAGGAAGACCATATACTTCTCAGGATCATAAACAAACACAAAAGCAGCAGAATACACAGCACACCAGCAAAAATGAAACACACAATGTTAACACAAAAACTAAAAGAAAACAAAACAGCCTTATAAGAGCCTTACAACAGGGACAAGCTCTCACATTTCAATAATCAACCTAAACTTGAATGAACTAAAAGCACAATTGAAAAGATATAGAGTGGCAAATTTGATTTAAAAAAAGACCCGATAATTTGCTGCTAATTTACTGCCTCCAGAAAACACATCTCGTCACAAAGGATGCTCACAAACTCAAAGTTAGAGGACAGAAAACAAATTTTAAGGTGAATGGATCACAAAGAAAGAGGCAGGAGTTAGGATCTTAATATCAGAAAAAACAACCTTTAAGCTATCAACAACTTTAAAAGATACAAAATGACACTACATAATGATAAAAGGCTCAATTTATCTACAAGAAATATTCATCCTAAACATACATGCGCCCAACACAGGAGCACCAAGTTTTATAAACCAGCTATTAATTAAACTCTAAAAGGTATTGACTCTAACACTATCATAGCTGGGGACCTAAACACCCCCACTAACAACCATAGAGGCAAAATATCACCAAAGAGATCCAGAACCTCAACTTGACACTTGACCAAATGGACTTAATAGATACTTACAGAACATTCTACCTTACAACCATGGAATATACATTCTACTCATCATCACATGGAACGTACTGCAAGATTGACCACATCCTTGACCACACATTAAGCATAAACACATTTCATAAGATCAAAATACTGCTGTGCATCTTCTCAGGCCACACTGCAATAAAAATAATATCACCACCAACAAATTCCCCCAAAACCCACAAAGACATGGACCCTAAATAGCATGATGCTAAACAACTCCCGGGTCAAAACAGAAATCAAAACAGAAATTAAAAAATTCCTAGAAATAAATGAAAATGAAGAAAGAGCTTACCAAAACCTCTGGAATGCCATGAAAACAGTACTAAGAGGAGAATTGAGAATTTACATCTCTAAGAACACACATCAAGAAAATAGAAAGATCACAAGTTAATAGCCTGACAAATCACCTAAGGGAGCTGGAAAGACAAGACCACCAAAACCCTAACTTCAGCAGAAGAATCCAGATCACCAAAATAAATGCCCAAATATAGAGCATAGAAGACAAAAATATCATAGAAAAAAAATCAATGAGACAAAAAGCTGGTCCTTTGAAAGGATAAAGAAGACTGATGGACCCCTAGCCAGAATGACCAGGAAAAAGAGGAAAATCCCAAATAAAAACAATCAAAAGCTCAAAAGATCAAGTCACAACTGATCCCAAAGAAATACATAAGACTATTAGAGATTACTATGCACACTTGTATAGAAACAAACTTGATAACCTAAATGAAATAGAGGACTTTTTGACATTATACAACTTCCCAAGGTTGAAACAAGAAGAAACTGAGACACTAAATAGGCCAATAACAACCCAGGAAATTGACTTTGTCATAAGAAAACTACCTACAAAAAGAAGCTCTGAACCAGATGACTTTCCAGCAGAATTCTACAAAACATAAAGGAGGAGCTGATACCAATCCTATTGAAAGTATTCCTGGCATTTGAGAAAGACGGAACTCTCCCCAAATAATTTTATGAAGCTAATATCACAATGATAGCCAAACTGGGTAAAGATTCAACAAAGAGGCCAATGCCTCTGATGAACATAGATGCAAAAATTCTCAAGATTCTAGCAAATCGGATCCAACAACACATCTCAAAAATCATCCACTGTGACCAAGTAGGCTTCATCCCCAGGACGCAGGGCTGAGTCAACATCCACAAGACCATAAATGTAATTCGACACATCAACAGATGTAAAAACAAAAACCACACGATTATATCATTAAGTACAGAAAAAGCTTTTGATAGAATCCAGCATGGCTTCTTGATTAAAACACTTGAACAGCTAGGCATAGAGAGAACATGCCTCAAAATAGTAAGAGCCATCTACATTAAACCCACAGCCAACATAGTGCTAAATGGACAGAAATTGGAAGCATTTCCTCTGAAAACCAGAACAAGACAAGGCTGCCCATTTTCACCCCTCCTGTTCAACATAGTGTTGGAAGTGCT